CTCAGTAATTCTGCACGGTAGGAAAAATTCACCCGATGATGTCCTTATAATGTCATCCTACAATTTTTTGCATAAAATATGTTAGTTTGGAATACATTAAAAAAAAAAAAAAAAAAAAAAAAATCAGAGCAGTTCAGATGAATTGGCTAGAGATGCTGCCTTACTGGAAAGGCAAAATTAGCAAAGACAGTCATTCTTTTTATGAGGTCTATTTTACATCACTGAGAAAACAAACAAGCTTTCAGGCACAAAAACACTTGTTCAGGTCTGAAGTAGCAGAATAAATTTTCAAAGCTAAACACAAATAGACAAAAAAAGACTTGATTATTAAACAGCAAGACCCAAGAGCAAACACTCAGGCTGCAGAGGAGCTCTGACAGGGCACGAGCATGGGGAGAGATGTTCATTTTCTCCTTAGGGTCAAAAAGTAAAAGAGGCACTCATAATCTGATAAATAGGTTTAGCTCATCATGACTGTTACTAATCTACAAAATAAACCACTGGCCTTTTTCCAAAATTTACATCCTTAGAAAGAAGAAAATATAATCAATCTGGAATTGGAAATCTGTTAAAGTTCAGGCAAGATTTGCTGACCCAGAAAAGATGATGAATTGAATATTTTATTACTTTTTCAAGGTGACCTTTGTAAGGAACATATTTTTCAGTTCACTAGTGAAGTCAGTCCCACAGCCCAGTCATGCATTATCCCATATTTCTGACAGAATACAGAATACATGTGTACTCTGTATTACACATACATTATACATATACGTGTATATGTCTACACACATAATATGTACGTATTGCCTCGCATAAATATGTATGTATATATAACCTTGATAATAGTCCTACTGATATCACTGGACAGCTACAGCTTAGCATGTGAGAAGTGTTACAAATTTTGAAGGCTGTATACAAATCTAGAGCATTTTTCACAAGCTGGGAAATGTTTAAGAGTTAATCTTAAATAAAAGCACATTAGAGCCTAGAATGTCATTTTTCTACTTGATTGCAATCAAAAATTATCTTTCCACATCACAGGCCCCACTGCCTCCATTGATGCTAATTGAAAAGCTTGTCGACAACACAAATCTTGGATTGTATTGATGAGAATTTCCCATCTGATCTTAAAATGTCTCCTTTATTTGGCTTATTGAAAGTGATAATGGCTATGGACAAATCCAAACTCTCTTCAGTCAAGATACAACAGTTTCAGATTGGGAATAATGTGATTTTTACCACAGGAAACCCAGAAATCATCCCAAGACAGGGAGCCTGGCAGAGGTCTGCTCCACAAGTGTTTTGGGTTTAGCTGCTCTGCACTACTTACTGCGTAGTACTCTGTACAGTAATCAGTCCCAGCTGGCTCCCGGAAGAGGTTCTCAAACAGCTCCCCAGCCAAAACCAACAACAATAATCAAACTATATTCAAATTTCTCTACATGCCAGCCCATGTTTTAGTTTTTGGTTTTTGCCATAGCGTATGAAGCTCCATATGTTGTTGGTGCTGTTGTTGTTTTGTAACATCAACTTCGAATTCTCTGCTTCTTCCTGCAGGAAATCTCTTTTCTTCTGTGTTTTAGATTTTGTAATATCAATGACATCTGAGATAGCCTCTGTTGACTTCCTCATTTCTGAACAGCTCTGTGCAATATGAGCATTTGTCCAACACAATGCAGGGGTGTAACCATCTTCTCAGAGATCCTTGTAAATGTGCAGTGATTAACATCAGTAAATCTTGCTCTGAACTAGGTATGTTCACCTCTACTTGGCTCTTGTGAGGCCTCATCTGGAGTTCTGTGTTCAGGCCTTTCTTGTGGGCTTCCAGCTCAAGAAAGGTGCAGAGAGCTCTTGGAACGGGTCCAGAGGAGGGCCACTAAGATGATCGGAGGGCTGGACACCTCTGCTATGAAGAAGAGTTGAGGGAATTGGGCTTGTTTAGCTTGGAAAAGAGAAGACTGCAGGGAGACCTCATTGTGGTCTTCCATTTGAAAAGAGTGTATAAACAGGAGGGGGAAAGACTGTTTATGAGGGTGGATAGTGATAAGACAAGGGGGAATGGTCTTAAAGTGAGACAGGGGAAGTTTAGGTTTTTCACACAGAGGGTGGCGATGCACTGGAACAGGTTGCCCAAGGAGGCTGTGGATGCCCCATCCCTGGAGGCATTCAAGGCCAGGCTGGATGTGGCTCTGGGCAGCCTGGTCTGGTGGTTGGTGACCCTGCATATAGCAGGGGGGTTGAAACTAGATGATCATTGTGGTCTTTTTCAACCCAGGAGAGTCTATGATTCTGTGTTGTTTTGAATGGTAATTTGTAACATTTATGCCTATCAGTAGTTTTCTGTCACATGTTTTGCTCTGAGTCCTGACAATATTTACCATTAGGAAGCTCTTCTGTTGTGAGCATAATTTAGAGCCCACAACCCACTTGCAAAAGTGGCTTATCAGCTGTAAATCAGTTGTTTCTGAAATTAGTAAAAACTCCAAAAACAATAGGACCACCTAGCATCAGAAATGCTTTTTTTTTTTTTTTAATCTTCTGATAAACCTCTGGTCTACTATTCCATTTCTTTTATGTATATTCTTCAGAGAGTATATTAAGAATTCGTCAAACTAGAGTTTTACTTCACCCATTAATTCTCTTTCTGATAACTATCATTCTGTAGTATGATGACTAAGCAAATATCATCTGACTTTTCTCATCTTCATCTTCTTGATATTTACTTCTTTCTTTCTTGGTCTTCCATTCATGAAATTATCTTTACTAATGTATATCTATTTTTCTCATATTCTAATGTCTAGGCAGAGACTTAGACTTGAAATTAAGCTTTTAATTTTCACCAGAATATCAGAAATGGGACAGATTTTTGTGCAATATTATCAAGAAAAATGCGAAGCTGTTGCCGCTCTCTCTGCCACGCCTACTACAGCGAAGCCTAAAATACAACGTAACAGAATAATCTCCCAATATTGATTAGAAGTGAGATGTTACTTCATCAACAGCATCCCCTGCATCTCTATAAAGCTATCAGCTAATTCTGCACAGAGTATTTTGCAAATAAAATATCACAGGAATCTTTTTTTTTTTTTTTCTGTAGCAGAACCAAGTGATTAATGTAATTCTGCTGTGCTTTTCACCCTTCACTTTAATGAGTCACACAGGCTGGATAATGGTGGCCTCGCATCCTTTTCAGTTAGAGCTTATTTGAATACTTGTTAATTTTTCGGGGCCACTATAGTCAGGATGTTACGTACTAAAGGGGGTGTACAAGATTATAGCTTTTGATACTCTTCCGTCTTAAAAATAAATTTAGCCATTATGATAAGATGAAGTCATCTCCTGTTTTCCCGAGAAACCGGGAAAAGCTCTATTTAAAAGAAAAATAAAGAATAACTGGTCTCAAACTTGCTCCATAAGGAGCTTTGGGCCTGGGTAACCAATGGAAGGAATTCCTCATTCAAATGGTAATCTCAGCCCATGCACTGAATGCTCAGGCAAGATGGGGCTTGCACTGGCAGCAGGCAACTGGCAGCAGGCAATTGAGAGCAAAGGTAGTTCCTGTAGTCCTTCCACACCGTTAATGGATGGCTAATACATACAACAGCATGCATCACTCTACCCCTGCACCCCACCTTTGGCCATATATCTGCAAGTGCAAACTAGTCTCAGTGATAAGTGGTCAGGCTCAAACAAGTCCTTGACAGGATTCACTAAGGGTGAGAGAGCTGATAAAAAATATTTGGCATGTTACAGTCCTATAAGGTGAAATCAGAGGAAAAAAACCTAATCAGCCACACCAGTTCTTGTGCACTTCTGCAAATCCTACCAATTACTAAGTTGTAGTGGTAAACTATTGCACAGAAGGGAGCAGAAAGCACTTTAGCTCTCATCCCTGCCCTTTTCTGTTGTTGAAATTCAGACTCTAGGATGATCAAGCATCATTCATGATTTCCTTTAGTAATGTGGGTACTTAATATCTAAAACCCTTCAAGCATAGATTTAACCCACTTATAAGAAGAATACACCTTCCTCTCTATAAGTCCTCCTCCCCAGCTTTGCCAGTTGTGAAAACAGGAGCAAGCAAAATCTTTCTGTAACTTTGGTCTCCATGGTTGCCAAGGTTGGTGCTCATCTGATCAAATGCACATGTGTAAATCTGCACAGTCCTGGATGCTTCTAGTGCACAATCTCTTCTACCCTGTATAAGATGAGTCACACAGAGAGTCTATTACTTCAGAGGGCCCTTGGTGAGAAATAGTTTGCTGGACTGCAGATTTTTAATATTTCAATCTTATTCAAATTGTCCAATCCAAAAATCAAACTGCTTTGCTGGCCAGACAGTCAGTCCAGCATATCCACAAACTGGCATGCTTAACAAGTTATCTAAAGATACTTCAAGCAGAGTACTGGCACAAATATAAAATAGGTGGGGGTTTTATGCAAATATTTCAGATGATCAGATACTAAAGGTCTTGTGTGTCCAGGAAAGAAGCACATAATTTCAGTATATTAGTGAGGAGATTTTAGCAAACACTTGGTCTATCTACAAAGGTAGTTAACTCAGAGACATACTGAGAAACTAGAACACAGCAAGGGACTGCTTAGGCTGATAAAGAGATTTTGAGAAACAAGCAACCAAAAACATAACAGTACATCTAGAAAAATGCAAAGAAAATCCATAGCAGAAGACTGAGGGGTCTTCGCAATGAGTAATACCTACCTTCTCAAAAAAGTACCTACCCTGACTATTTGTAGCTTTCTTTTTTCATGAAGTCTGATTTTCCACTAAAATACAAAGCTGCTAAAATTCCCTCAGAGACAAGGATTCTTTCTGAATGCTATCAAAGATCCACAGGCACCTCTAGGGGAATCATGAAATCAGAGTTTAAACTGGTGATTGAGCACCTGGGGAAGGTGTGTGGCTGGCCCAGGGAGCACAGGTTTACATGCTGGGTACATTTAAGGGCCAGCTACTGAAGGGAGAGCATTTTTTACTCTTAGGCAGCTATTTGAGAAGGATGGCTAGACAGCCCATTTACCAGTTGGGTGAGTTCCGTTCTTCTTTCTGTATGTGACTATTAAACTATATGTAAATACTTTGCCTGATCTCACTAAGAATCTATCAGAAGCAATTTTGTTTCTTCATGAGCAGAACAATGACAGAAGAAAAAAAGGGTGGTTATGCCTGTGTGTTCTAATAAAGCATAGTAAAGAGACTTATCCCAAGTTAACCACCAAAGTTAGCTCTGATAGCATTGGCTGACGCTGTCTTAGCCTGCGGCCATGCCTGAGGTAATGAGTCTTGTGGAGAGTAGATGTTTTTTACTCATGGACGTGAGTTGGCATCTTCATGTAACACTGTGTTGCATGATTCAGATGCAACACCTCTCTCTGAGGCATAGGTTTCTCAGCTTAATTCTCTGCCATGAGGTGGTGACATGCTGCTGCATGCTTCTGTCTCCATTTCCAGAAGTAGAGATGTATACTGAGCAAATCCCTCTCTAAACACTATGCCACCTCTAGGATCCAAACGCACCAGCATGTTCTTGCTTTAACTTGCTCTTGGCACTGTATATCTCCTGATGATTAAATAGCATGATGCAATTGGGATCAGAATCTCCAGAAATTAGTTGTCTATTTGAAAAATGACAGCAAGGACAAGACACACTTTACCTCTCCCCATACACAGACATAAATTAGCCTCCGAAGCTGCTGCGCAGAGCTTTATATTCTTCTAATGACTTGTTATGGCTTTTATAATTTGAAAACAGAAATCCCATTTCATAAAATAAATCTCACAAAGCACAATCTTCAGAAGTACTGCACACTCCTGCCAAAATCCCTTTCTCCACTTTTGGACCAGGGTTTTGCCTTTTTGTCTTAATTATAGCTGCTCCTGCCTACTGAGGATAGTGGAGAGGTGGCTACATCTGACTTATAAGGAAGTCAATCTTGCAATTAGTTTCCCTTAGATCCAAGAGAAAAAAGGTGATATCAATTCTTATTCAGTGAACTCATTGTAGTCAAGACTGCGCTTACACCTGGGTCTACTATTCCAAAAAAGTGTCAGTCTGGTCTACCCCTTCTCAAATTCTTGCTGCATACCTGCATCTGAAGGAGGGAACAGATCAAGCTCAGAACTTGATTCTTTCCATTAGTCTATTCAGAAATAAACACATTTGCTCCAGCTCTCTGTGAAGTCTCTGTAAGTTCTCTTTTTTTCCAATCAGCAATATGGGAGGAGCAGCATGAAGTGATTCTGATGTCCACAAGTGCTCCACAGCAGGAGGTCAGAGGTAACACAAAGAGTTCTCTGCTAAGCAAGGACATCTGTAAGAAGGTTCATAAGGAGGAGCTGAGGTACTACAAACCTGAAAGGTAGGTACTGCCTGACCAACTTGATCTCCTTCAATGACCAGGTGACCCACCTCATGGGTGAGGGAGAGATGTAGACTTCAGCAAATCCTTTGATGCTGTCTCCTACAATATTGGCCTGTAGAAGCTGGCAGCTCATGGCTTGGACAGGTACACTCTTTACTGGGTAAAAAACTGGCTGGAAGGCCAGGCCCAGAGAGTGAGGTGAATGAAATTAAATTCAGCTGGGAACCGGTCATGAATACTGTTCCCCAGCAGTCAGTACTGGGGTCTGTCCTGTTCAGTATTTTTATTGATGATTTGGATGAAGGCATTGAGTGCACTCTCAGTAAGTCTGCAGATGACGCTAAGCTGGGAGGATGTATTGGTCTGCCCAAAGATTGGAAGGCCTTGCAGAGGCTTTGAACCAGCTGGATTGCTGGGCTGAGGACAGTGGGATGAGGTTCAACAAGACCAAGTGTTGAGTCCTGCACTTTTGTCACAACAACCCCATGCACTGCTACAGGTTTGGGGCAGAGTAGCTGGCAAGCAATGTGGAAGACAGTGATCAGGGGGTGTTGGCTGATCTCAGCTGAACATGAACCAGCAGTGTGCCCAGGTGGCCAAAAAGGCTGATGGCATCCTCGCTTATATCAGAAATAATGTTTGTAGCAGGAGCAGGGAAGTAATTGTCCTGCACAGGTGAGGCTGCACCCCAACAGCTGTGTTTGGTTTTGAGCCCCTCACTACAAGAAATATGTTGAGGCCCTGGGGCATGCTCAGAGAAGGACAACAAATCTGGTGAAGGATCTGGACCAAGAGCACAAGGAGTGCTGAGGGAACTGGGATTATTCAGTCTGGAGAAGAGGAGGCTCAGAGGATGCTTTATCAATCTCTACAGCTGCCTGAAAGGCATTTGTAGTGAGCTGGGGGATCAGCCTCATCTCTCAAGTAACAGCAATAGGATGAGAGGGGATGGCTTCAATCCAGGTTGGATACTAGGAATAATTTCTTCTCTGAAATAGCGCTGAGGTGCTGGAAGGGGCTGCATAGGGAGGTGGTGGAGCTATAGTCTCTAGAGGTGTATAAAGAAAGGGAAGATGTATCTATCTGCCTTGCATGTTACACATTTGATCAGACAGTGAGAGAACTGTGCTTTAGGAAATAGCAAAGAGTGCATTCAACACCGGGCTGATAACTCTGATTCTGGCTTTCACAGGGCCATTGATTCTTATGATTCAGCCACAGTTCAAATATTGCTGTGTTGTCATCTCTAGATGGGCTGAGATTACAGTCTCTTAATAAGGGAGTTATGTTTTTCCATGCAGTACATTTACAGCACAGAAATAAACAATAGGAGAATAAACAAAACTAACTCTTTGCTTTGATCAAGGTAATTTTTATTTACCACAACAGGAATTAGAATTTTGAGAGCATAAAAAGTGGATTTCTGTTGTGGAAAAGATCATATTTTTTTCTTTTCAAGCTAAATTGAGCTCTACAGCCAGCAGTTCTCATGAAAGATTCCCTCCTTCAGAAACTTACTTTGCATGACTCAAAATTTTCAGCTCAGTAAACACCATTTTGAACTTATTTTTTGTAGAAAAAGAGTGTATTTTGAAGTGATAATTTTTTTCCACTCTGAAAACTTTTTTCTCCAGAAATGACTCCAAACAGCAATCCATTGAAATCTGTATAAATTTAAAAAAAAAATACATTCCACTCGCTCACTCTTCTTTCTGGACACAGCTGTTCAACAAATGTTGTTTGAACAGCACTCATGGCATCTATATGGGTAGATATGAGGAAATATATCTAGTTTTTATGTTACGATCAGGACAGTTCAGTTGTTAGAAAACTTTAGCTACAATAAGTATGTCATCTTCATCAGGAGACAGAATTTGAGGTGGTCTATTTTCCTGTTTTATGTGGTCACTAAAACAAAATAAAAATGCCCAAATTCATTTAGCAGAGATAAATCTTGGGCAATACAATAAAGCTTAAATGGAGAACTCTTCTTTCTTTCCCAAGTGCATTCTGAAACTGCAGCCTGTTTTTGTTTTTGTTTTTTATTTAAATATGTAACTATTAAATGCAGTGGCAAATACTTGTAAGAGTGGATCTGCATTTAGAAGCTCACTTTTCCCCTCTGTATAAGTATCAGAGAGTGAGAGCAGAGTAGACTATTCCCCAAGGAGGTGATAATTTTCACTAGTACTTTCACAGACCTGTAATTAAGACATCTAAAAAAATATATTTTATTTTGCACCTCTATTTGTGTTCTGGTAGCCCTGTACTGCACTGAGATCAAAATGCAATCTAAGCAGATTTTCTGCAGTCCTTTCCACCTCAGTGAAAGATTCTCTCCCTTTTATTTTCCAGCCATGACTATCTCAGCAAAGCTCCTTTATGGGATAATCAAAGGAAAACATACCGGAAATTTCTGTCATAACTTCAGGGTTTTATACCCTCCATCTCAAACAAGGGCCAGATGCATACTCTAAGACTGAGTCATAGTGAGGGACTTCTTGATTATTTAATTACAATTATTAATTAGTGTGAGAAAGTTTAATTGATCCTAAATAGTGGGAAGCAGTTGACAAAGTACAAATGCTGTGCCAACAGAAAAGAAGGCACCTTTACAAACTCTCTCTTGTAATCTGCTACATTTCGAAGAGATAGTTTTTTCCAAATGTCTTTGTGCATGTGGGATTACTATCAGCTTTGAAGTTTAAATCATTTTTAAGATCTGGCTGGGGCACATTAGATAAGAAGGTGGCTATGCAATTAAAAACTAATAATTTGGAAAGTTCTCGTGGATGTTTGATCCAACTGCTTATCCTGGTAAAATGATGCCAACACTATAGAGACTTATTTTTTTACCTATAAATTTTGTTGCTGACAGATTTGATAGGTGTGTGATTCAGTGCTTAGTGCTGGTAACATGTTTCATTTGGTTTCTGAATAGTTGTCCAAGATGGAGGCTCTGGCAAGACTCTTGTGGTGTAAACTGACTTCCAGATGACTTGGCCACACTCACTGAGCTGTCTTGATGCTGTTTTCCAATTCAGCCCACTGAAACAGGGATCACTGACATCTGCTTGAGGTAGTGCCAGACCCCTCAAGTCCTACATGTGGACACAAGTCCCACTTCTGTACTCCTCTTCACACCCACGTGCCAGGGCCTCGTTGTGACTGTGGGGCTGAGGGCTGCACTGCAGCTGGAAAAAGGTACCACTCAAAGACGGATGCTACAGCAACTGCCACTCCCACTGTACACAGTTTGCCTGTGCCATCTTCATCACGTTGCCTGGCATTCTCATCACCTACCTTCAGTGCTTGATTAAATGCCTGCCCCCATCCCTAAGCCCAGTGCATGTTTCCTGCACATCAGGATTTTGCTAACTCCAGGCGTCTGTTGCGCTGTACTGCCAGATCTGCATCTTCTTTTAGATTATGTGGGTTTGGACTGTCAATCACTTGCTGACAAATAAATCAGTTTGTGGAGCCAAGTGGTTTTGTAAAATGCTTTCTGAATCATATCAACCAGATGTCTTTACAACGCCGCATTTGTGACCAAGACGACAAAAGTAAGGGATTTTCAAACTAAAGAGTATCTTTCTTTCTTAAAGAGTATCTTTCTTTTTAAAGAGTAAAAAACTTTTTGAAAAGTTGGCTAGTTGTATGAAGCAGTGGCAGGCAGCTGGGGTGGTGTTTGTGCATCTGTATGTACATAAATATTCACTGCAGTGGAGAAACTCAAGCATTGGTATTTTCACTTTCTAAGAAAAAATAAAGTCTCATCTATATTTGCAAGATAAAAGAGCCAAATTTTGTTCAGATCTTTCACAAAGCTTTTGGAAGACGAGCCCCTGTAATTTGACCAACAAGCATTTAGAGAGTTTCACTCCAAGTGAGATACCTGTGTCCTTCTGAGAATCTTAATATTTCTCTTCTGATTGTTTGCCTCTTTGGATGCCTGATATTTTTCGAAGTCTGCCCTTGTTTGCCTATCATATACGCACAACAAGAGAGTGGCATTATCTCAGTTTTCTAGACCTGGAAATGGAGATGCACAAGGAAGCACACAGGAACAGTCCCACTGTGTTAGAGCAAAGATCTCGTAACACAGAAGACTCTCTTGGGTGGTGTCAGTAATGGGAGATGTAGGACAAGGCTGTAAGAAACATATCTAGAGTTGTATTTCTCCTGTTTTGTCTTCACGTGTCCTAGTAACTGTTAGCATAGGGACTTTTTGTGGCAGAGATTCATCCAGGGGGCAGCGCTCAACAGCCATCAAGGCAGAAGTGAGCTAATGACTGAGAAAGGATCAGATCCAAACTGAGAGCCTTTTGCCTTGTAGGCTGGTTCCTTGTAAAAGGTATCTAAACTGTGGAATCAAGTTTACCTTAGCTCTGAAATCTCTCAAAGGTGAAAGTGCAGAACAAATGTTCTCTGACACCTCGAAGACAGAGCTCAACCTGGTTTCAAGGACAGAAGATTTCCACATAGAGTCTCAGAAAATACAAGTTTTCTGTCTGGAACTCTGATCTACTGAAGTGAACACAGGTGTTACTGTGTTCCCACAGAGCTATTTGTATGGTAAGTTCGAGGTCTATGAGACAAAGCAATGCAAGTCACTTATCTCTGTCACTACATTCAACGTGCAAGAGGAACTGCTGCGTCCTTCCAAGAGCACTTCAAGGTTTTCTTTGCTGCAGTACCTGTTGCAGAGGACTGCATTTCCATTGTAATGTACTGCATTAAAATGAATCCCAACAAGGTTCAAAAAACATCCAAACTATTTTGATGCTACAGTTTTAGTAATAAATATATTTTCCTTGCTGGGTACAATTTTCCGTAGTACTCTATGCAACCAAAGAAAGGAAGGGGCAGCCACAAGCAAGGTCAACTAATGGTTGAAAGCTGCCAGATGTCACTCATTCATTAGGTTGTCTGTCACACTCGCTAGTGATTAACAGTAATACGTTTGCACTTAAAAGTATAATGCACACTTCCAAGAAATCAGGTTTTTTTACACCTGGTAGGGCATTGTGGTGGAGGGAGGGGTAGGTTCTGCAGCTCATTCCAACAAAACCAATGCCTTTGTTTAAAGAAAAAAAATCATAAAAGTACAGATTGAGGAATAGAGGACAGAAGGAATGACACTGCAGCAGCAGAAGCAGCTCAGCCCCCTGGAAGCTGGAGAAGATTAGAGAAGAACCTCAGGTTTAGCAAATAAATTCTATGAAGCACTGAATATATCAATCTGTGCTGGAGTTAATGGGCACCCAAAATCCTAAAGGGAGAAAAATATTTCTGAACTAAAATTTTTACTCAGCTCTTTATGCTGAAGAAAAAAAAAAAAAAAACTTCAAAATCAGTGAAGAGCTGATCCAACAGATTATGCAAGTAAAATTCTTGCCAAAAGGAGTGCTGGAACAAATGAATAACTTAAGGAGAAATGGGAATACAGTGGTAACATCTAAAATGATTTAACAAGGTGTCTGAGCCCATAAAAATATGACTGTTTTCACTGGACTAGAGAACTGAAACATACATTTTTGTTTCAGAATATAAAGATTAAATGTCACCTTGGCAATTATTAAGCAGCTGCATTTACTTCAAAGGGGAAAAAAGAATCATGGCATAATGCATAATCACATCAGGGTGACATGACAAGTCAGCCCAAAACATCTTGGAGAATGCTGCGAGTAGAGGAGACTACTGATGCAAACATAACCTGCTGTTGCTTAGTGAGAGTAGTTAACAGAGACATAGTTTTGCTGTGATGACCACATCCTTCATAGAAGTAGAGTTAGATTATAGAGAACTGTTGTGAGTATTTCTAGACAGTCCTGCACTGTGCTAGAAAATCCCAAAGGAAGTTACGTTTGTCCAAACATTCTACCTAAACCACTTCCGATCTAAAGAATTTTACTAGCGGTTTTCTAGATGTTGCATTTGGTTTTTCCTCTTTCCAACTATATTCCTTTGTATACTGTATTCAGAATTGAAGGAGGATAAGCTCATAAAATGTAACTGCTGCCTTCCCAAGCTAAAACCTTTGGATATTTCACAAGCACGCAAACAGAAGGAGTACCAAACAAATGTTTTTACGCACACGTGAGGATTGGCATGCCTCATAAACCACATTATTGCCATCCCTATGGGAGTACTGACCAGGAAAACAATTCCATTTTGGCTGTGTAAACATTCACCTTACTGAGCATCCCTTCATCTCCATCTTTAACATGATTTCCTAAGGGCTGCTAGCATAGGCATGAAAGCGGAGGCTTGCTAAGTGAACCAGTTGTGTCATTTGGAAATAAACATCTCGAACAACACAACGTAAGAGGACTGATTTGGCAGTTCACATTGCAGATCTCCTTGGCAGTAAAGCTACCTGATTAGGTCTCCACCTCCTGAGGAGCCTGACCAGGGTGTGACATGCCCGTCACACTGCACTGAGATCTGATGGAAGATGTTTGGGAGAAAAAAGGTCAGTGTGACAAAAAAACAGACTGCAAAAGCAAAAGCTGCTTTAGACAAGGGACTATACAGAGAGTAGAAACAGGTGGATGAGCTAAGAGAAAACAATTAAAGGGTAAATTTGGAGTTCATGTGCATACTTTCTGTAAAAAAAAATTGTATAATATATCCGTGAGAGGCAGACATCATTTTTAGTACACTCCATTACTGGTTATTTTGTTGTCTTTTTTTCAAGATTTGCTCCTTTGTGTACTTACTCTGGTTAAGACTTAGAATCATAATATCACAGAATGTTTTGGGTTGGAGGGGACCTTGAAGCCCACCCAGCCCCAACCCCTGCCGTGGGCAGGGCTGCCCCCCACCAGCTCAGGCTGCCCAGGGCCCCATCCAACCTGGCCTTGAGCGCCTCCAGGGATGGGGCACCACAGCTTCTCTGGGCAGCTGTGCCAGCACCTGACCAACCTCATAGTGAAAAATTTCTTCCTTATATCTTACCTAAATCAAGTCCTTTTCAACTTATAATTGCGCTAAGATCCTGGTAAAGAGACTCTCCCTTTTTTTTTCTTGTCAGTCTGCTTTATGTCTTGCTTCACTTACCTTCCCACTGAGATCCTATAAGTAAAAAGGCTTTTTTTCTATCATCTCTCTTTCCTCAGTATGCCTCTGTTTACCTCAGCCTCGAAAACTAAGTGCTGATATACTTTGGTTAAAGGCTGGAGGATGAGCAAACTTTTACAGTAAGACTCAAGGCTAGTTGCCTTCATTAGACCAACACATTTCCCTTCCTGCCAGGGTAGAGGTCCTATGAAAGGAAACCTCAGTGATTCACTCTCCATGCAGCAGTCCTACCTCTTTCTCCTGACAGTTAAATGGCTTGCAGCCAGGAATCAGTGTTTGCTAACATCTAACTTCAAGCTATCTGAAAAACAGAGAAAATTGATTTAGTCAGACTTGATGCCTATAATAAGACAAATATCCCTATATATCCCTATACGTACAGTACTTACCTTACTCATTCTGACCAAAAAGACACCTTGCTCACTGTCTCCAAAGCCTAAAAAGGTATTTCCTTCTAAAAGTGATGCAGAAATACCACTTGAGTTTATCTCCAGCTTTTTGCCTTTCTTGCTTTTCACAGTTAACCTCATTCATAACTGGCAATACTTGTTTCACCTCTGGAGGTGGCAGCTGGGGAAATTGCTGGAAAAAAATTAAGAGTGTTGGAAAAACAGACTGAGAAGGCAACACCTTTGAAATCCACAGATAGGACAGATAGGTAGGCAGGTCATGCTTTTGGGAATCCGAACAGTGGATTTTGATGAGCTGTGGAAAACAACTACATACTTACCAGCTGAGGACACATTGTATTATAGGGTGTAATCAATAACAACATGCCAAATATGATTCTCCTCCAAGTCATGTTCCTTTTTGTGTTCTTTCCTTCTGTTTGCAGCAGCATGCAAACTGCTACAGGCTACTCAAATGTTTTCTTCTTGTATCTTCCTATTTCCACCAGATCGTTTCAGCAGAGGCATTTCCACTCTCAGCAAAAGCAAGCTGTTCCTGTTTGCATCAGGCACACCAGATGGAGAAAACAAATCATTAATTTATGACTTAGAAGACACATTTTTATGACAGGACTTTGTAGCACCCCACACTTCTTTTTCAATTTAATTTTTCATGACATTTACAAGCAGCTACAAACATAAAATTAGAAACAGGAGATTCCATGCAATAGTGGCAGTGGCAGCATGAAGCTCACCAGCTGCAGACACAGCACTTGTCCTGCCAGCACAGACCCAGGTAAGGCAGTCTTTTCTTCTGGCCTAAAATTGCTGTCTCCTCAGGTCTGCTGGAATAATTGTACACATAATTTCTCCTCCTGCCACTCACAGAATCACAGAACGGTCCAGGTTGGAAGGGACCTCCAGAGTCATGAATCTCCAAACCCCCCACCACAGGCAGGGCCACCAACCTCCACATTTAATACTAGACCAGGCTGCCCAGGGCCCCATCCAACCTGGCCCTGAACACCCCCAGGGGTCAGTCAATAAGATCGTTTCCATGTACTCTGACAGTTCATCTTGTATAATCGGGCCATGCAGTGAGCTGGTTTGGCCGCAGTGGTGGCTGTAAGGGAGCTGCTGGGAAAGAGCATTTGGACAAGTGGTGAGGGGTATTTGGGGCACTGGGGACAGCAGCACCTTTACTCAGCTGGGCAGCAGCAGAACCAGGTGCAGTAATCAACAAGTCTCAGGTCATCTCTCATCCATGGTTCAGGATGAC